CAGGTTTGGGTGCCGCCCTTCACCTGGGATAAGTAAGAGGGGAGCAGCCGGAGCCGTGTCCGCAGTCGCTGAAGGACGGCGCGAGCGGCCCCGGGAGCCTTTTGTCAGGAAAAAGCCTTTATGACTATATTTGTGCAGGCAGCTCTGAAGGCTCAGACCTTTATTCTTTCAAGCTTTTAAACTAAAGGTCATTTTTCTCTTCCCTTCCAGAGGGGGGAAAAAAAAAAAAGAGAGAAAAAAGTGAATTCCTCTTGACGCAGATCCCCTTCCCCTCTGGATGGGAGTTCAATTGTTCTTGCAAGCAAACTCCAAATCTGCCCCTTGCATTCACTTCCTTTTTCCTGCCCAAAAGGAAACAGAGATTTCTGACTGTGTGAACTGGTCCTTTATTTAAGGATACAAGAAAATAGCTAAATGCTAATTCAGTGTGGATCTATGCACTTTAGCATGCGTCCAGGCAGAACAAAAGAAAGAGAAACATGTCCCCGCCCTTCCCAGTTGAATTGTAAACTGCCCACTGGTTTGAGTATAATAGGTATTTATGAAAGTTATCCTAAAACATTTACTCGAGTCCAATGCAAACCCAGACCCCTCAGCCAGGAAGTTTTTAGCTACCAAAAATAATCACCAGGCCCTGGCTAATATTTTTAACGACCGTGCGTTCTTGGGAATTTCCTCTTCCCTCCATGGAGATAAGTGATTAAACAAAATAAAGGCAGTGGCCATTTTGACAGACTGCGACGTGTCAGAGAGGAGAAATATCAACAGCTCCTTTTTTTAAAAAATCTTTTTCCTAAGTCTTGACTTCTGCATTCACTGTCTGACTTTTAGGCTGAATTCCACTTCTCTCTTATGCTGAAATCCAGCAAGGTCAGCAGAAAAGCCATGGAAGTTTCCTGGGTAGGACTTTTAAGCCAAGGTATTAAATCCACTAATGGGAGACACTTATCTCTTCCACGCCTTATTAATTTTATAAAAAGGCCGTGGAGCTCTATTCAGCTGGGTGTTGTTTGGCTGGATCAGTTCTGTGCAGCACCATTAGTGTAACGTCCTGTCCATTCTCCAGGTCTTCTCCATGGAAACCTCCTCTGGACTTTGTCCCACACAGCCAGATCAGAACCAGCCCTTGGTGTGCATTTTTTTCCCCATGCAGAGAGGTTTTTTTTTGAGGTAGGAAACTTTTTAATCAGTTGCAGGTGTTTTGTTCTGCGACTGGGAAAATGTAAAATGTCAATTTTCATTGTCTACAGTGACCAGTAAGAGATGCTGGGAAAGAGATTGCTGGCTGGAGGCAGGGAAGAGGAAGAGGAGGGCTCAGCCTTCAGGACTCTGCTGAGGATGGAACAGCCCAGAAGTCACATTTCCAAGGACATGGAGTCATAGGAAAAGGAGGAATAGTTTTAAACGGAAGGAATGTAGATTTTATTAGATATTAGGGAGAAATTCTTCCCTGTGAGGGTGGTGAGGCAAGGATGCCCAGAGATCCCTGAAGTGTCCAAGGCTGGGCTGGACAGGGCTTGGAGCACCCTGGGATAGGGGAAGGTGTCCCTGCCCATGGCAGGGCATGGGATGGGATGAGATTTAAGTTACTTTCCAACACAAATCAGTCTGGGATTCCATGAAATAAGTGGCAGGTCTGTGGGAATCCTTACCTGATCGATAGTTTGCTGTTACTTTTGGCAGAGAATTCAAACTGTGTGTTTTGGATCTTTGCTGAAAGCAAGGCTCTGCATTTAGGATTTGGACTCTGTTGTCAAATAATAGCAAAAATAAATTAATGATTGGTAATGCATGCACAGAGATGTTTCTGGTGCAGGAAAGGGACAGCTGGATGAATTGAATGTAATTTTTGCAGCGGAAAATGTTTTCCCATCTTTCTGTGTTGGTGGGAGCTGGCTCCAAGGCAGAAACCAAGGATGTGCAAGGACCACATCACCTCATACCTGAGGGAATTTGGGGAGAGTGGGCAGGATTCCCAGCCCAGCAACAAGCCCAGGTACCTTTCTTTTGGTCTGTGATAATTTTTCTCCACAGGGATTTGCAGCAGGAGGCACTCAGCAGTTTCACAGGCCGAGGAAACGTGCTCTGGACAGCAGACACTGCACCCCTGCAGTGCAGAGCTGATCCATCCTGTGTGTCTTTCCATTGCACACGGCTTTCTCAAAGACAGGGCCTTGCTCAAATGTTTTCTGCGTGCCTGGATGCTCTGTGCAGCCAGGGGAGTGTCTGTGAGCGATACAAGCTGCTCTCCCAGGACAGCACTGCAGCCTTATCTCCCAGCACAGGGCAGATAAGAGCCCTTCAGCACTCTGCCTTGGCCAGAGGGAGGCTCTGGGCATTTTCCCTGCTCTGTGCTCCCTGCAGCAGCAGCAGCATCAGCCATGGCCATGGCCACACCTTGGGGTCCCAGCCCTGCAGGGCAGGAGAGTTTCTTCCCCAAGCTTTGCTGCCCCTGTTCAGGACAGCCACTTGTACAACATTAAATCCCTGCTGCCTGTCTCCCTCACTTTCTCCCCTTCTCTTATCAGGCTTTCCTTGAACTGTCTGTCAGGAGTGAGAGGGGAGGCTGAGCCCTCAGAGTGCAGACAAGGCATTCCAAAGGTTGTGTGTGTCACTCTGCCCACCTGCACAGGAGCTGCCCCTCTCTGCTCTACTGTCCCCAGAGCTGGCCCAAGGCACTGCTGCAGCAGCCACACCTGTACCCCCAGCTGGAAAACGGGGTTAACACCAGCTCCTTGTGCAATTTGGTGTCAAATATCTAACTAACAATTTGCTAGCAATTAGCTTCTGGTGTTAATGAGCAGCTGCTTGGAGAGGAGGCCTTATGGGCATCAGAGACTCTGCAAAATGTCTTTATTGCAGAAGTGGAGACTTCCAGGAGGAGCAAGAGACCTGCACAAAGAGAGTGGCTGTTCTGCTCTGGGGGGTCCCACTACCACTGTCCCCATGGGTTACACAGGAGGGCACCTTGGGGTGGGCTGGGGAGCTGCCAGGGTGCTGGAGAAGCCAGCAGGAGGTTTTGGGGACAATGGGAGGTGCAGGCAGAGGTGTGGGCACAGCTGGCACCAACACCCTCTGGCTCCCTCCCTCCCTCCCTCCCACTGTAACTGAGCCTTGGCTGCCTCCCAGGTTTTCCCCCAGCACCGATTTCCCTGGGAGGACAAGATGAAGCGTCACAATTTCAGATTTAAACCCCTCCATTCGCGTGGCCCCTGCTGATTGCTTCCCCCTCCAGCAGCCACTGCTCAGGGCTCCTCACCCTGGAAAAACAGGAAGAGTTTTTCCACACATCCCAGTTCGCTCCTGCTCCGTGCTTGGCTCCGTGTGTGCTCAGAGGTGTGGGTGCACGGTGTCCCTGTTGTGCCCTGCATCCATCCCAGCACACGGCACAGGGCCAGCTGGGGCTTTGGCAGAGGATAAAATTGGAGTGTAGAGTTTTGGGGAGGGTCCTGGAGATGCTGTGCATTGCAGGGCTGAGCCTGTGTGTGTGCTGATGGTGGGGAGAGGTCTCAGCCCTGGATCTCAGATCCCTCATCCACAGGTGGCACAAGCCATCCATGTGACCCCTGAGCCTTTCCATAGGGAGCTGCTGCTTCAAACTCATCACTGAGAGGAAAAGAGGAGGTTGAGCCTCCCTGCTGTTAATTTGAGCTCCAAGGCACTCATTTTTGCCTCGAGGAGATTCCCCTGGACAGCTGTGCTCCCAAAGATTCCCTCAGCTGGGAATGCCTGCACCCTGGGAGCGCTCACACACGGGGTACACAATCAGCTGCTGCTGGGGAGGGTGATGGGCAGCCTCTCAAACCCTTTCTGCCAAGGAAAACAAGAGGGGGCTTTCTTTAGCCATGCATTTATATAAATAAACACAGGAATATTTTGCAGCTCCCGGGGGATTTGCCCAGAGCTCTGTTCTGCTGAATCAGGGTGGGATTAATTCCGTGCTCCCTGTGAGCCTGCGCAGGAGCTGCCGGCACGAGCTGGGGACACAGGGGAGCCCCAGGTGGCACGTGGCCCTAAATCCATGCCAGGCACTCTGCTGGGACAGGAGCACAGCCCACGGGCTGCCGTGGGGGTCTGGAGAGTCAAGAAATAATTGCCACTGCCACAACCCTTGTGCTTCAAAGTGCCTCTGCTTTCAGTGTGGATTGAAGTACCGAAATCCCATTAAAAACTGTATTGTTCCTGCTTGGGTTGCCCAGAGCTGAGGTTACACACACACACAGATGAAATTTGAAATACAATCACTTTTGCACCTGGATGGGCTTGAAAATTAGGGCATCAGGGCAGCTGTTTCCACACTTCTCTGCTGCCTGGCCATGAAGAGAACACCTTTGTCAGGTGATGTCCTGCAGATTTAGTGGCCCAAACCACGCACCTCTCTGTTTCCCAACACAGGCACAGGGTGCCAATAGCACAGTCTTGCGTCCCAAATTTCGGGAGGGTCACAAATACCCCAGAAGGTGCTCCACTGGCAGGCAACATCCACATAGCCCCTCTTGAGGAGGTGGCCACCAGCCCTGACATGCTTGGCACAGGTCCCCGGTGCTGTGGGGGGTCCCCAGTGTCCCCTTTGAGGGGGAACGAGAGGTGGCTGCAGTGGGAGCTGCCAAAACGTGCCCCAGTGGGGCGGGATGGATCCCACCCATCCCAGGCCTGCTGTGAGGCTCAGGAGGGAGCCTGGGCGAGCAGCCCTGTCCCTCCCCGTGTCCCCAAGGACTCGTGGCTGCTCCTCTCCGTGTCAGCCCCCCGTGCCCGTCCCCGGTGGGCTCGGCGTGGGGGTCCCGCCCCGTGGCCCCTCTGCCCCTCGGGGCGGCCGTGTTTGTTCTCCTCGCGGCGCCCCTTATCAGCTCCCAACACACACAGGAAGTCCTGTCTGGGATTGTCCATCCCCGGCCTGATTTATACAGGAAGAAAAGCATAAAAAGCCGCCCTTCCACCTCGGCAGCCACCTCCTGCCTGTGCGCGGCCGGCGGCCGGCCATGCCCGGGACACCGGGGACACCGGGGACACCGGGGACACCGGGCCGGTGCCCGGGGCTGCTGGACACAGGGTGGCCGGGCAGGGATGGCCACCAGGAACCAGCAGGGAGCACGGCGGAGGACAGCGGGGCACCCAAGGTACCCCAGAGCCACAGCAGGGATGGATGGATGGGATGGGATGGGATGGGATGGGATGGGATGGGATGGAATTGGGACCTGGCACTGCGTCCTTGTGAGCTCTGAGTGGGTTTTGCCCCTGCTCATGATGCTGGGAGCCTTGGGGATGGCTGAACACCCAGCATGGAGTGAACAGGTGTGTGAGGTGTCTCTGGGAGCACACAGGTGTGTGAGGTGTCTCTGGGAGCACACAGGTGTGTGAGGTGTCTCTCACAACACACAGGTGTGTGAGGTGTCTCTGGGAGCACACAGGTGTGTGAGGTGTCTCTGGGAGCACACAGGTGTGTGAGGTGTCTCTCACAACACACAGGTGTGTGAGGTGTCTCTCAGAGCACACAGGTGTGTGAGGTGTCTCTCACAACACACAGGTGTGTGAGGTGTCTCCACCTGCTCCTGGCGAGGCTGGATCCGCTGTCAGCCACGTGCTCTGAGCAGAGCCCAGCCTCCAGCATTGTTATTTTTATGTCACCCCACTGGCACTCAGGCTGTTTTCACGGGGAGGAGAAGCCAGTGGGTAAATTTTACCTCCTGTGCGTGTAGAGGCTGCAAACACTTGCACAAATTCCTGTGAGATAGCTGGAAATTCTTAGTTAATCTCTTTTCTTTCTGTAACTCCCTCCCTTTTCCCTCTGCCTGCTCTCTGGATACCTCTGATACATCACCACGCTGTCCATCCTCCCTGCTCTGCTCCCAGCCCCCTGCTCTCCTCTGTGTGCTGCTGAATGCACCCCAGCCCCGGGTGGGATGTGGGGCAGGACAGGGATGTGGCTGGGGACTGTCCTGGCTCTCCCACCAAGGCTTGTCCTGCCTAGCAGCTGAGCCTGGATCACGCTGGCTGAGCACAGCAGGAGCTCAGCAGAGCCTCCCAGATTTATAACCACAGAGCTGGGTGCTTTTCATGCTGCCTGCAGCTACCTGGGGGTCCTGCTCTCCTCATCTGTGGCATTGCACAGTGCAGGCAGGAGGCTTTCAGTGAGACACCCAGGGTATTTTGGGATAAAGGAACAGCTGGGATACCCAGGCACTGTCTGGAGCAGAACCACGCCAGTGAAGGGCTCTTGGTAGAAATAACCCAGCATTATTTTTTCCCAGGGTCCAACATTCATGGAACCAACTCCCCGAGCAGAGAATCAAATGCAGAAAGAAACAAGAAGGCTTTGGCAGTGATTAAATTCATTTCAAGCTGGATTGGGAAGGTCTGGCAGTGCTTGGGAGATTGTGGAAGGTCGTTGTGGCTGGAGCTGGAACATCCTCAAAAATCCACCTCACCTCTGGGCAGCAGTGGAAAACATGGATCTGCCCTGGCAGATTCCCACTGTTCTTCCCTGGGATCTGCTGATGGAGCTACTCCCCCCTCTCTGCTGTTGCACTACCAGCTCTCCCAAGTTTCCCTGCAGGTAAGGACGAGAAACTGAATCTGCTCTGGAGGTTCATTTGAGCCTTTTCCCAGGCTCTGCTGCTGCAGATGGGGCTGGTCTGGGGGAAGGCAGATTTACAAACTGCAACAAATTGGGGTAAAGGAGCCTGCCCCACAGTCCCAGCAGCAGCAGGAGGGCTGGGAGAAACACCAGGGAGAGCACCAGACCAGACAGGGAAACAAAAGTGTCTCTGCAAAGAGAGCGGGGTGGGGATCAGAACTCTTCTTTCTCCTCTCCCAAAGTGATCCCGGGATCCCCGTCCTGCCCACAGCCTAGGGCAGGTTCCTCTAGCTGGAGGCTTTCCCCTGGAAGAAAAAGATGATCAGAGCAAAAATTTCTTGTGTGAAAGGCTCTCTGCTGAGCTGTTCCCTGGGAAGGTGAAGGGGCCGAGCCATCCTGCAGCTCCCACCACACTTCCCATGTGCTCATTCACTGGGAAAGTGGGGCAGGGGACCACGGCCATGTTTTGCCAGGGAAATTTTACAGAAAGCCACAAAATTCCGTTTATTCTTGGGTGGGATGAATCATTTCCCAGTTTTTACGCTGCAGCTATTGCTGCCTCCTCTAAATGTAAATACAAATTCAAGCGTGGATGTGAGGGAAAATAAAGCTGGCTATGGGATGATGCCCTGGCCCTGCATTTGTTTCTGCACAGCTCCAGCTCAGCTGCTGGTAGTCCCCATGGGCACCTTAAGTTATAACACACTGGTCCTGAGACAATTAATCCTTGTGAACTCCTTACTCAGGCAAAAAAAAAAAAAGAAAAAATCACTTTGTGGGGCTCAGGTCTTGGTATTAATATGCAGAGCCCTGAGCCGCTGGTGACAACAGAGCGAGAGCTATGGGTCAAGTCCTTTTCTTGGTCTGACCTGGTTTTATCCCACTGCCATCAGTGGAACCCTCTAGATTTCCACTGCGATAGCTGGTGTGCAGCTGACGCAGCTGAGAACAATATGGGCCAGAACAGAATGGTGGGAGGTCATTTTCCTCACAGAGCTCTGCAGAACAGGGGCTGCTCCTGAGCTTAAACTGAAATGTAAAGTTTACAAACAGCCTCATGAACGGCCCGAGCAGAAGAATTTGTCCTGGAACAGCAAAAGCCATTCCTCCTTTTTTTTTTTTTGTTTTTTTTTTTTGTTGAGAAGCACCAAAATTTCCCTTTTGCTTTAGCAAGTGCTTCCAGTTCTGTGCCAGACCCCCGTGGAGACCAGTGAGAGCCCATTGTGTGCCGCAGGTATGGGGTCAGCCACGGCTTGTGGGGGCTGGAGAGTTTTGCATCTGTATGTGTGTCACTGTCCTGCCCGTGTCCCCATCCATCTGTCACTCCAGTCTGGGGAGAGCTCGTGTGCCTGGGCACGTCCCGTTTTCTGTCAGGGGCTGGAAGTGCTCCTCTCTAAAGAGCAGGTTCCTGATGTGGGATTTTAATGCTGATCTATTAATTCTCCACTGTTAATCTTCCCTTTTTCATGCCTCCCACCCTCCAAGCTCTCCTACCAAACAGGGAAACGCTTCCAGCCCTCAGCTGCAGCCCTCACTCAGGGGGATGTTGGATGTTGGATTCCCAGGCAGCTGCAGTGGGCTTGGCAGGCTCTGGGAAATTGGGAGGTGGGTGAAAATCTCACCTGGTGCTCAGCCTGAGATCTGCTGGGGGCCAGCACTCGCCGCCCCTCCCAGCTCACGCTGGTGGTAAAACCAGTGGGAGACAAGGAGGTTTTGACATCGTTGAATCTGAGAGGGAGGTTGGGCAGAAACATTTCTTTCCTGGCCTGGAGACAAGCATTAATATTCGATGTCGTGGGAGTACACTGCTGGTGTGCAAGGGAGAAAGCTGTGGGGGGAAAATGTAAAACATCGGGCAAGGGAGGACTTTGAATTCAGGCGGCCACGCAGGCAGGAGCCCAAATCCCCTGCTGCCTTTGTCAGGAGCTCATCACACTGACATGAACAGTGCCAACAGATCTGATCTTCCCCCACTCTGAGCTGGCATAACTCCTCTGCTTCCAAGGGAACTTTGCCAGGCCTTGTCCTGGGGGATTTCCCTCCCAGCATAATGAATATTAGCACAGAAGACACAGAACCCTCCCTGGGAGCGCAGGATTAAATGCTCTTTTAATGGGCTGTATGCAGTTCTTTAGCAGCTGACACGGGCACTTGCTGGAGCAAAGATTTGACCCAATAAATGGGACTGGAAAGGAAACTTTCTGCAATTAAAATACTGGCAGAATTTTAAAATGCTCGGTGCACTTAGGGAGTCACTGCCTATGGTTGAGAAGGCTCCAGTGGAGTCCCTGGTAGGAGCGTGCTGGGTCCTGTGCTGCATGGTGGTGTCCTGTGAGGAGCTGAAGGATGAGTCCATCCTCTTCCTCACCATCAAATTTGCACTTGGAATTTCAGGGATTCATGCAAAGGTTTCCTGGGCGGTGAGGGATGCTTGTCCTTAAATGGAGTGTAATGGTAAAATAGAGTGTAATGGTAAAACAGAGTGTTGGGGAACAACAGATGGAATCACAAATCAGGGAGCTGAGCTTGGATACACCTGGGAGACTGTGCCAGGTGCACTCCTGTTCTCCTGGCTTCTTGGAAAATCCCAGCCTTGAGCAGTGGCAAAGCTGCTGGAGGGGATAGATCCTGCTCAGCAAATCCCTTCTGCTCTGCTCAGCCCCTGCTCATCCCCCGGCTCGCTCAGCCCTAAAGGGTGCAAAGGCTCTGCCTGGATTCCCACTGGGATCACAGCAAGGAGAGGGAGGATCAGGGCCATAGGATGCTCCTAAAACCCTCACTGTGGGATGGGGATGGATTTCCTCACGCCCTGCCACGGGTGTGACACAGCAGCGGTGTGAGCTCGGTGCAGCAGGGACTGTGGCCACCACCCTGCTCTGATCCCTCACCCCCTCTGCAGGGATCTTTGGGAGTGTCCAGGGAACAGCAGGGTCCATCCTGGGTCCCTGCTCTCTGTCTGCCTGACAAAGGGAGTGTAACTCTGGGCTTTTTCTGTCCTCACAGAAAGAAACCAGGATGCTCCTTAAGCAAAGGATCTGTGCCCAGGACACCTGATGGAGCACCGTGGATGAGGTGAGTTGTCTCAGCTCCAAAATGAGATCCTGTGCTTTCAGTATGGCCACACAGAGAGGCTCTGGCTTCCACAAGCATTTTGCAATTATTAGACAATAATTCAGGCTCTGTTCATCTCCCCCATACACCAGAAAAAACCCAATAACGCTCTCTGCATAGCAGGATAATTACTGTGCTCCCAAGGCTCTTGGGAGAAGTTACCTGTGCTGATGAAATTAAAGGAGCTGAAACCATTCCCCAGGGGTAGGATGGGTCCTGTGAACAAACCTGTGTGAGATGCTGTACAACACGGAGCTGCACTTCCACCAGCACCAGCAAACCTTTCCCTGCTGCTGGGAGAGATCTCCACCAGCACTTCCAGAGAGGATTCCCCTCTGTTCCTCTCTCAGGGAGGATCCCACCAAAGCTCCTTTCACACTGAGAGCCCCAAGCAGCCATCAGATTCCCCAGAGGGCGCAGCACTGCCCAAGGCAGCTCCAGTTCCATCAGCAGTGTATCCCTGAGGAAATGAAGGGGATGGGCCAGTGATCTCAGTTGCTCTCTTGGAACCATTATTGTTGAACTGGTAAATATTTCCTTTTAAATGCTTACATGCTTTCAAAAAATTTGCAGGGCTTAGTGGGAACAAATATTCCCAGGGGGCTGTATCCTGCCATTCATTTGCACATCAGATCCCTGCTATCTTTAAGAATGGTTCTGTGCATGGGCAGGCGCCTAAGTCATTTGAGAAACAATAACCCTCTGTGCTCTAATTTTCCAGACAAAAATGTAGACAAAACAAGTGGCAATTTGGCACAAACCGAGCCACTTTGATAAATAACCGGGCATTTAAGAGGAGAAGTCTGTAGGCAGCTGGGCTCGGGCTGCCCGAGCTGTCCCGGGGCAGGTGCTGGGCAGCCGGAGCTGAGCCCTGGGTGTCACCCTGGAGATTCCCTCTGCAGCTGGGGGGCTTCCAAGGAATTCTCTAAGCATCCTTTGGGATTTGCTGGAAACCTGGCGGTTCATCACCGGCTCCTGCAGGATTTTGGGATGAGCTCAGGGCGATTAGCGGGCACGGCGGGAGGGTCAGGACCAGGTCTCTAACCTAGGGAGCGGTGATGTCTCCTCCTAAAACCCTCTGTGCTCATGGTGGGGAGTGCGGACCACGACAGGAATTTTTAGTAAAGAGAATTAATTCTGCCCTGGCCACTGCACTGGTGAGGGACCATTCCCCCGGGGAGTCCGAACACCCCTGGGCGAGGGGGTGCCGGGGGGCACAGCGGCCGCGTGTCCTCGCAGCGTGGGGCTGTGGGGCTGGGGGCTCATCCTGCCCTGGGGCCACCAGGTAAGGCTCCAGATCCACCCGGGCGGGGGTCCCCCGCCATCCTGTCCCCAGCGGCTGGACAACATTCGGGACCCAGAGCAGCGTCTCGGGGGTCCTGCCGTGTCTCCCCCCGGTGCTGCCCCATCCCCGCACGGGTCCCGGGGAGCCGGGGGCAGGTGGCGGCCGGCGGGGCGGGGGCAGGCGGAGATCCCCGGGCCCCGGCGCTTCCCGCCGGCCGGGAGGCTCCGCTTTCCTGCCCGCCGGGAGCTCATTGGGCCGGGGCGGAGGGACCGGCTCGGGCCGGGGGAGGAAATGCGCGGGGGGCCGCGGCTCGGCGACTCCGCGGCTCCGCCACCGGCACCGGTGAGTCCCGGCGGGAGCCGCCCGGGGCTCGGCACGGCCGGGGGGGCTCGGCAATCCGGGGGGACTCCTCTGCAATCCGGGGGGACTCCTCTGCAATCCGGGGGGACTCCTCTGCAATCCGGGGGGACTCTGCAATCCGAGGGGACTCAACAATCCGGGGGGACTCTGCAATCCGGGGGGACTCGGCACGGCCGGGGTGGCTCGGCAATCCGGGGGGACTCGGCCGCATCCCCGCCGGGAGGGGCGGGGGCCGGGGGGGCCGGGGGGGCCGGCGGAGCGGGGCTCGGTACCGCAGCGGGGAGGGGGGGTCTGGGCCGGCGGATGGGCTCCGCCTGCTCCGGGCTGCTGCGGCCGCGGGGAGCATCCCCGGGACACCCGTGTCCCCACAGCCCCGGGGACATCTGCGTCCCTGCTTCCCCCCGGGACTCCCGTGTCCCCATAGCCCCGGGCCACCCGTGTCCCCGCAGCCCCCGCGGTTCCCGGGTCCCCGCAGAACCTGCAGCCCCCCGGGCCACCCGCGTCCCCGCAGCCCCCGGCGGCTCGGGTCCCTTCATGGTGATGCTGTCCCCGCAGCCCCCGTGTCCCCGTGCCCCTCGGGACAGTGCCACTGTCCCCTCCGCGGTGTCACCATGGCCGTGTCCCGCTCCATCCCGCGGTACCGCATCCCAGCCTGCGCAGGGAACAGCCGGAGGTGTCTGGGAGGGAGAATCCATCCCCCTGCGGCCGGGGCTGACCCTCTCCGGGAGAGTTTGGCTCTGAGGGCGCAGGCCGGGTTTGGAGCCGCGGTTTCACCTGCAGAACCAGGCCGGGCTGTCTGGAAAAGTGCGGCCGTGGCGGTCCCGGGAGAGCCACGGCATCCTCGCCAGGGGCTGGGTTCTCTCAGTGCAGCCAGAGCACGATTCCTCCTGCTGCCGGCAGCTGGAGTTTTAGTCTTGCTTCCGTGGGCAGAGCTGGGGAAAGTGCTGCTCTCCTGCGCCGTGGGTTGTGTGTCCCCTCGGTTGCTGTGGCAGGTGAGGCAAGAGAAGAATTTTGAGAATTTTGGAAGATTTTTAGAATGGTTCTGGCTGGTGGGACAGGGACCCCCAGACTCACAGGAGCACGTGGTCAGCCAAGGAGGGTTTGCTGACCCCTAAGACATAATTTCACTTGTCAGACCACAGGGCTTCACCTCTTCATTTGAGAGGCTTAAAAGGCAGAGACAAAAAAAATATTTATTTTTTTCTTGCCCATAATTTTTTTTGTCCCCCTTGAGTTCTGTGCTTTAAAATAGCATGGAATAGATGGTGGCAACAGGTTGAAGCATCTTCAGCAGCTTTAAAGAGGTTGATTTCTGTAAAGCCATAAAAGAGACAAGTCTAGACGATCATATTTTCTACTTTTACAGCTTTTTCTGGCATGAAGCAACCAAAATTTTATGACCCAGAGGGATTCTCAAGCACTCGAGGTAGGGCAGTGCCGCTCCAGCTCAAAGTGAACAAACAAACTCTCTGTATTTTAGTCTCGTGCCCTCTGTTTCTTGCTGTCCCCACAAGGAAAGCTCCCATGGCAGCCACGGGAATCCTGTGGGAGGATGGAGAAGGTTGGCAGAGTTTGACTTCCAGACTTCAGGAGCAGCTGTGAGAGCCAGGGATCTGAGATTGTAGGGAAGTTTTGTGTCCCAGTTTAGCCCTGGGAAAAGCTGGCTGATGGAGCAAAGGGGAGTTGGGTGTGTGTCTGTACCCCAGTGTCCTTGGAATGTCTCCAGGGCTGGGGAGAGGGAAAGCTTCTTCATGATTTTTTAAAGAAAACTTTCCTGCAGAACAAGCAAGATTTGCTTTCCTGATGGTGGAGGTACGATAAATTCATCATTAGGAAATTAAACCAATTGCTGTGTTTGAAGGAGAATGGAGGACTACAGGCTTTAGAGCACCAAAATCCTCCTTCCATCCTCAGGGCTGGGCTTGCATGGAAATCTGCTGGGATATTTGATATTTGACATCTGATATTAAGGGGCAGGGAGGCACCAGGCTGGTTTCTCTCCAGATGTGAATCTCTATTTTTCCCTGCCACAGATTCTTCTCCTGCACCAAGGAAAGGACAATCCTGAGTGCCCTGCAGATTAGCCATGGTTATTTGTAACAACCTGTCTCAGAGCTGGGATTTCCCAATGGAGTTTGGGGATCAAACTGGAATTTTTCAGTCCAATCCTGCCCACAGGGGATTTTAGAAAGTTGATTTGCTGCTCACCATATTTGGAGTCTCAGAAGGTTTCTTGTTGTGTAGCCTTCCCTTTCAGAAAGTTTAATCAGCACAGTCTGATTCTTTCTTTAACTGGTGCATGTTTAAGGTGGGTTTCTTTATTTCTTTCTCCTTCAGCTGCTGCCATCCGGAGGCCAAGTGGTTTGTTTAAATGAGATATTGTTTAAACTGGATATTGTTTAAATTGAATATTGTTACCAACCCTCTTCAGCCTTGTTTTGTGTTTGTCCTCTGCTAGAAAATCAAAACCTCTCGGTTTGTGCCTCAGAACTGACTCTGCAGATGGTACATATGGCCCTTACAGCACTTTTCTCTGTCACGAATTTATGTTTTAAACAGAAGAAGATCAGATTTCAGTGTTTTATGTGGTGGGAAAACACAGCTTTACAATGCTGTGTGCATTAAGAAATGATGGGCCATTGTTTTGCCCTCACTGCCTGGAACTGGCAGCGAGTTTCAGGCAAAACACGTCCCTTCCCTGCCCCACAACACACAACTGCACAGCCCCTGGTGCCCTGAGAGCATCTCCAGGCATCCCCTGGGGTAAATCAGGAACAATTCCTGAATTAATATTGTGCCACTGTGATGAGACAAGTGGGGCAAGGTGGGTTTGTGCCTGCAGCAGCTCCCACCTTGCCGGGGGTTTGTCCCCACGGCTCTGTGGGATGTCCCCAGCTGGGCAGGGACACCTCATGGAATCACAGAACTGTTGGAAAAGACCTTTGGGATCATCTTTGACCTCACACCTCCTCATCACCTGCACCATGGCACCAAGTGCCACATCCAGTCTATTTTAAACAAATCCAGGGATGGTGGCTCCACCGCCTCCCTGACGATTCCAGTGCCCGGTCGCTCTTTCAGTGAAGAACTTTTTCCTGATGTTTCCTCACGTTCACAGCTCTGCTCTCCTGCTTGCAGGGATCCCCACGGAAGGCCGAGCCATGCAGTAGGAGCCAGCACATCCCAAAGGAAAGCAGGACCCAGTGGTGCCGTGGGAGGGACGGGACATGCGGAGCCTCAGCTGCCTCCTCCTCCTCTGGGGACTCCTCCTCATCCTCAGCATCACCAGCACGGAGGGCTTTGCCCAGGCAGGGTAAGGCCCTGTTTTGTCTGCACCTCTCAGGTGTGATCTCCACCCATCAGGGTGAGGCGTGTCCTCTCTGCGAGGGGACAGCCCTGTGTGGCTCTCTGGGCTGGTGAGGAGGTGGAAAAAGCTCTCCCAGGGCTCAGCTGCCTGTTGCTGGTTGTTTGCTTCCTCACTGAAGCTAAAACCTCTCTCAGAGGAAATGTCCCAGCTCTGTTTAACTCCCTGCAGGGACACAAAGATGCTCTGGGCTTTTTGTCCAGGAGAGTCTAAAGCTCATCAGGCCCTGAGCTGTTCAGGAATTATTACTGTCTCTTTCAAGCACATCTTTCATGAAAATAAGTGTGAAATCCTGCTAGCACACAAATCGAGCCTTGTGAACAAGCTGTGGTTGGAGGATGCAGCTCCCATCAGAGGAGGATGCAGCTCCCAGCTCTGATGGACATCCAGGGACAAGGGTGTGGAAAGCACAGGATGCTGCTGGGGCCCATGGTCCTGCAAGCCCAGCAGTGGCAGCTCCAGCAATTCCCCTCCCTTTGCTGGGGAATGGGTCTGGGAGAGCTCCCTGGATCCCAGCACAGCCTGGGCAGGCACAGCTCAGCTCCTGCCGGGTCTGAGGAAGCCCAGAGCTCAGTGCCCCCGTTTCTTCCCCAGCTGAGAGGAGCTGGAGCTCAAAACTCGCCCCCAGACACAGCTCAAATTTTCTACCAAGTTTGTTTTTACACTGAAATGCTCCTCCAGCATCAAACCTTTCACATTCTGTCCAGGACTGAAACCACAGCTGAATTCCTCGCTCACATGCACAGGCTGCAGCTAAAACTTTGTTCTGAATTTTACAAAGCAAACAACTGCCATTTAAAAATTGCATCTTCTATAACATTAATCATGAGGCTGAGAGGAGTTTTCTGGAGTTAATGGAAGCCATCTGATGTCCATGCTAATTCCCAGGCTTTTTATTTTAGTTTCTAATTGAGCTGGGAGGCTGAGACAAGTAGATGGTTCCTCAGTGGGACTGACCTGCTTGGGCTGGAAATTGTTGAAAAAAAAAAAGGATGTTTAACCAAGACCACTTTGGCTGTTAACCTTGGGAAAGTTTTTGACTGGATAACACTTATCTTAGGAAGGCTGGGGAGTGCCTTTTATCCAACCTCTATTTTCTTTGCGGTGAGCCTGACCCTTCCTGTGAAATCATTAATTTCTTGGTGACCACAGGGGCATTCGTTTCAGGAATGCAAAAGTCTCAGAAAGGAAAAATCTGCCTAGAAAGTGATTTTAGGGGAAGGGAGACAATGAATGTAATGAGTAAAATCATCCCTAAATCTGGGTCCCCTGGGACGGGGGAGGAAGCGCTCGCGGAGCTCCAGAGTTGCGTCACTGACCCAAAACAGCTTGAGGAGGGTTCCCAGGTCCCTGGGGCAGGCAGGCAGTGCTGCCCACCAGCCGTGTGCAGAGAGGGAGCTCATCCCCGTCCTGGCTGTGGGGCTGACCCCTCTGTGCTCAGCCGCAGGGTGTGCGCCGCGGGGCCGAGCGGCCGGAGCGCCCCGGCAGAGTCCCACGTGCAGCCCGAGTACCAGCCCTACCTCACCACCTGCCAGGGCCACCGCCTCTGCAGCACCTACAGGTGAGCCCAGCCGCCTGCACACATCCTGCTCCATCCCCAGGCACGGGGATGGCAGCCCCTGGAGCTGCTCTGGGGGCTGGAGGCGGATTTGGGGTGCCCAGCTCAGCCCGTCCTGGCCTTGCAGGACCATCTACAGGGTTGTCTACAGGCAGAGGCACCGGCAGCTGCCCGAGCCCACGGCCTCGTGCTGTCCTGGCTGGAGCAGAGCAAGCGGCCACACACTGGGCTGTAACAGAGGTGAGGACACCCCGGTGCCACTGCCCATCCCCAGACCCCTTGTGTCCCTGCAGGGGACCACATCTCTCATTTACCAACTCTCTGCCTGTCAGATGGATTGTCCCTGACTTAAATTTGCCCTCACTGCCTGGAACTTTTTCAGGCAAAACACGTCCCTTCCCTGCCCCACAACACACAACTGCACAGCCCCTGGTGCCCTGAGAGCATCTCCAGGCATCCCCTGGGGTAAATCAAATGTGGTTTTATATCTGATTAATTCCCAGCTTTTTTCTGCTGCCTCTTGGGTCTTTTACCTCTGGGATCACTTATTATCTTTATAGTTACCAGAGGATAAATAAAACAAGTCCTTCCCATCTAAATCAGCAGGAATGGATGAGAAATGCTTTCAGGAGGCAACAAATGCAAGCCACAGCAGCAGCCAGTCTGTCCCCAGATGAGCTCAGAGCATGACACCAGGGGCTGCTGCTGCCTGTTGCCCTCCTCCTTCCCATCTTTGCTGCTTTTCCTCTTTCTCCCACCCATCCTGAGCCCTGTTTCCCCTGCAACTCAACCTGCTGCGTGGTGCTGGTGTGTTTTGGGGGGTGCACACATCCAGGGTGGGAGGGAGGGAGCTGGGGAGCTGCTGGGTGACGCTGTGCTGCTGTTCCCTGTCACAGCTCTCTGCTGGGAGCCGTGCCAGAACGGTGGGAGCTGCGCCTTCCCCGGGAGATGCTCCTGCCCCCCTGGCTGGACGGGGCGAGCCTGCCAGACAGGTACTGACCATGTCCCCCTGTCCCTGCTCCCTGTGTCATACCTGCCCTGCTGCTGCTGGGAGAGCTTCTCCTGGGAGCATCCCAGCTGCCATGGGGCTCTGGGTGTCCTTTGGCCCTGCACAACCCCTCAGGGGGGACAGGGACCAGCGCCGTGGCTCCTGTCAGACCTTTGGGCCACGTCTGATTCTGTCCCTCTGCACGCACATGCACACCTACTCCAGGAAAGGATGGGAAATGTGGCTCCCAGGAGAGTCTGACCTCCCTTTGGCTTCCTCAGTGCTCCCAGCTCTCCAGTGCAGTTCTGGCATCCCCATTTTCTCTGCCTGCTGCTGTGTGCTGGGTCAGTGTGAGCAGAGCTGTGAGCAAGCCAGCAAAAATCTCTTTGCAGCACAGAGCCCTTGTGGGGCTGGCCTGGGACTGCGTGTTCCTGATCATCCCTCCCAGGCTTTGTAAACTCTTGCTGTAAACTAAAACCCCTTTATTGCAGAGACTAAAAATCCATAAACCAAAAATATCCGGGGTTGGAGGGGAAGCCTGGTGATGTCCAGGCTCCTCTCCAGCACAGGAACAGCCCGGTGCTCCTCACAGCACGGGGATATCAGGCAGCGTGGTGCACACCAGTGCTGCAAACCTCTGCCACGGCATTTCCCAGCTTTTCATCCTCCTGTAAGGCAGAGGAGGAGCGTGTGGCATTGACCCATGCTGGGCCAGGCAGGGCTGAGCCCATCACTGACAGCTCCAGCTCCAGAGAAAAGGATTTTCCCACTGCCTAAAACAGATTTGCCCGGGCGTGGGAAGCGCTTCAGCTCTTTCTGCTTTGTGGGAACAGCTTTAATAACTCCCCCGTGTGAGGAGAGGTTACTGGGTTTTGTACACACTTGAAAGGCTGATAGCTCCTCACCACAGCTGGCTGGAACCAAAACCCCGGCTGTAAATCCAGGATGAGAGCTGAGTGCTGCCTGCGCCCGCCTGGCCAGAGGTGGGACATTTCTGACCACAGCTTTTACTTCTGGCTGTGTTGTGGGGGAAGCAGGAGGAGGGGAGGAGATCAGACCCCCTCCAGCCTACCCAGATTTATCCAGGCCTGTTCCAGGCACTGATGGTGCTGAGACACCCAGAGCTGTGCCTGGCACAAACAGCAGTTCACCTGGGGGTACTCACTGGAGTTCCATTGCAGCCCCCCTGTGCCTAAGCCTGTGCCCCTCACCCTGTCCCACTCCTCACTGAGCTGTTCCTGTGTTCCAGACGTGGATGAATGTGCCAGCCAGAGCCACGGGTGCAGCCAGCTCTGCATCAACACAGCTGGGAGCTTCCACTGCGCCTGCCGGGACGGCTTCAGCCTCGCTGCCGATGGCAAGGGCTGCCAGCCCCTGCTGCCAGCACCCGGGACTGACACCTCCAGCCAAGCAGGTAAGCTGTCCCCACACTGAGCCCCAGCTGCTGGGGGCCTGCAGTGAGAGCTGAGGTAACACTCAGCATCGCAGGAGTGGCAGGAGATGGGAGAGGGGACAACAGCCAGAGCCCCTCAGCTTTATTCTCGCTGACCCAGGAGCGCTTCTCCCACCCAAACAACTTCCCCTGAGCACAAATCCATCTGTGAGGGTGACAGGGCCTGGCTGTGGCTGGAGCTGTGTGGGATGTGTCTGTTCTCTCCGTCATCGTCCTCGTTCCCGCAGGGCAGGTCCGGAGCCACGAGGAGCGGCGCTGGTGACGGCCCATTATTACTTTTGGTACGCGCTGTGACACTTCAAACTCGTACCGTGAGTAATAATGCGCTGTGGCCAGCACGGGCATCACGCAGCAAACATCTGGGACAGCCTGCACGTGCCTCACCTGCCTCTACCCCTGGGCAGGGCCCTCAGCAGGGACAATCCCTTGTGCCCACCACAGCACAGGGCAGAGCTGGGTGGTTTTTGGCAACACAGGCACCAAAGGCTGGGATCCACCAGATCTCTTGTCCTTTAAGCATCGCCCCACTGCCCGAAACCCTCCCCACTTTGTTGCAGGTGCTGCAGCAGCAGGAGCAGCCAGTGCCTTTAGCAGCTGGACTAGATGCCAGCAGGTCCAGCTGATGCTCTGGGGGATGACCCTGGGGGGGGAAAGCAGCAGAGCTTGGCCAGAGCCCTGCAGCCGTGTCTTTCTCCCCAGCAGCTTCCACCTCACCACAGCAAAGGGCTTTTACTCACTGACATTCCCTCTGTCTTTTTTTCAGGTCCCTCCAGTGAAATGAAGGAAGAAATGAAGGACCTGAGGAGCAGAGTGGAAGCGCTGGAGCAGGTGAGTTACAGCACATCCCCCTGCTCTTTTCCTGCTCAGCCAGCTCCCACCCAGGGCTGTTTGCAGCCAGGGTTTCCCTCTTCCCCAGCTCTATTTTTAACATCCCAGCAGCGATCCCAGCTGTGCTCCCAGCCCACGCCACGGCTTTTCCAGCCCTTTGAACACAGCCACAGCCCCACGAGCCCTCCCTGGTGGGTGCTGCATCCCCCTGGGGGGTCCTTCTGGCAAAGGGGGGATGCACTCACAGTTCCCCTTCTCCCTGCAGAAGCTCCAGCTGGTGCTGGCCCCCTTCCACAACGTGATGCCGCCAGAGGATGTCGGTGCAGACCCCATCAGCCGCCTGTCCCACTCCCTCCAGCAGCTGGACAGGATCGACTCCCTGAGCGAGCAGATCTCCTTCCTGGAGGAGAGGCTGGAGACCTGTAAGTGCCTGGAAAAAGCAGTGGGAAGGATCTCCCTCCTGCCACGGTGGCCACACGGAGCAGATGTGGGCCAGCAAGATCAGTAACACATATGCCACTGTTAATCTGGGTCTGCCTCAAGCTCAGCAGCCTGTAATTAACAAAGGATGAACACCAACAGCCCATTAGCTTTATTTCAAAGCTGTTTCTATGGCTGCACTGTCTGACTGCCCTTGTAGCAGCCAAAAATTGTAGGACTGGCACATGGAAATGTGGCTGTGGGGCAGAGCTGAGGGAGGCACCTCACAGCTGCTGTCCCTTCCTGATAACCCAGTCCTTAGGAAAGAACCCCCAGCTCTTAGGAAATTAACAGTCCAAAAAGTCAGTCAGGGAAGTTTAGGGAGCATGAAGAAGTTGGCAGATTTATGAGCCTGGGAAGTTTTAGGTGTTTCTTTTGGGAGTTTACATACCAGGAGGGGCACCAGAGAGGGTGTCCAAAGCAGCAAACTGAGGAAGGGACCCCTGTGAGGGCTGTCATGTGTGAAATGGCTGGAGGTGGGGGGGGGTCCTGCCTGGTATCCCCACCACACAGAGGGACAGCATCCCCTCGGGTCCCTGTGGTGCTCACCTTGACTCCAAGCAGAACACAACTCTCTGAACTCTTTTATTTTGATAGGCAGCTCTTTGCAGCTCATTTTCCCATTAAATAATTCCAAAAACTAGGCATGGCTGGGGTGTGCAACAGCAGCTTGCTGAGTCTTTGAAAGACTTAGGAGAAACTGGTTCAGGGCATATCCAGTCCCAGTTCAGTGCTTGCAGTAATGGCTGAGAGAGAAAGATAATTCCAAGAACTTGTTTGAAGACAAAGCAGCTGCAAATAGACACTTAAAAACCATCTGAGAAAGAGGTAATTACTGGAACCACTGAGTGTTCCAGCAGGCTGAGTTTTCTAGTAGTGCCATACACATATTATTAGTGGCAGCACAGAGGAATGTGAGCAGTATCACAAGGTAACATGGATTCATTCCAAGGGATGACTCCAAAGTCCTGAAATTAATTTCTGCCAGGCCTGTCTCAGCAAGCAAAACCTGTTTTTTGTCTCTTCTCGTGGTCTTGTAAGTCCCTGTAGGACACAAAGCTGTCCTGTCATACTCCAGCAAGCTCTGGGGCTTGCAGGGCATCCCATGGAGTTACTCAGCCATTCTGTGCCTGGTGGAGCATTTCCCACCTGAATTCTACCCTACAACTGCACTCCCCAATTAACTGCTCAGTGGGGATGTGTGCAATGACCAAAAAAAACCATTTTCTCTTCTTTAAACCAAGAGCTCTTTAAGCCATAATGATTTTGGCCCCTCTAGGTCTGAGCTACCCCTGATCCAGCACAGACTGTCACTGGATTTGGGGACATTGTGCACAGGGCCCAGGCAAGGACTGGGACATGCCAGGGAGGTGAGAGTGACACTTCTGGGTGTGGGGGGGATGAAGCCAGCCTGGGGTTGTTTGGCAAAAGGAAAGCAGCAAATGTGGGTGATATTCCCAGAAATTCAGGTCAGTCTCATTCTGCCTGGGAAAGACACAAACCAAAGCCAGGCTAATGACTGAATTTATCCTGCTGAACTTATTTCTCTTTCCAATCTTCCCAGGTTCCTGCAAGAATGAACTCTAGCAGAAGGCCTGGGGACCTGGAGCAAGCTGAGTGCATCCCAGTTCTCATCTCCCTCTCCAGCCCCAGGCTGGGAATGAAGGCACACCACCTACAGGGAGGCACAGGGTAGGAGAAGGCTGGGCTCCCATCAGCATCTCCATCATTCTCTCTTCCAGCTCACCTCACCAAAGGTCACGCAGTTCCTTGCAAACTGGACTTTGAGCCCTCTCCCTGCTGGAGAGGCAGCAAATAAATGCCTTACCTCGTGCCATGAGTGCCTGGCTGTGCCAGACTGGCTGAGTGTGAACTCGGGGGTGTTTGGCTTTTCCTTAGCATTACCCTGGGACATCATCTCCCAGGGAGCAGCGAGCACAGGGCTGGCTGTGCTTTCTGCCCTGCCAGAGCACAGGCCTGGCCCAGGCAGGGCAGCCACCTCCCCACACTCCCTGTGCTTGCTGTCACATGGAGAAGGTGGGGACAAGTCCCTGCAGCCCCAAGCCAGGTGGCACAGCAGGGAACAGGTGCGCCTGGTCCTGGCAAAGGTACTGCAGAGCTGGGTGCCCATCCCTGCAGCTCCTGTTCTGCTCTCCAGGAGCCCTGGAGTGCGGCTGGGTGAAGCACAGCCCTCCTGCTGGGGGAGCACAGGGTAGGGACAAGGACCCACCCTGCCCCTCCATCACCAAACCCACCCCCTGCAACAGCTGAGGGCTCAGCACCCCACATCCTCCTCCCTCAGCCCCCACATAAGACCAGGAGGCTCCTTTATTTAAATAACCAAAGGTGTAATTTTTTTGTTGTTGTTGTTGATTTTTTGTAAAGCACACAACATTCTCAGCCCAGTTAAAAGTGAACAGCAGACAACTGCACACAGAGGCACCGCTCCCTCCTCCCAGGAGGAGTCTGACATGGTTCCCTTCCCCAGGAGCCCACCCAGGGCCCTCCTGGGTTGACCCTCCATGACAACCCTTTATCTGCCACTCTCACAAAGTGCTGGATTGGTTCCCATCCTCCCACCCCGACCCTTCCCATCCCCTGAGTCTGTACTGTAAGGCCCCTCCAATGAAGCCCCTTGGCAGCACCGGCTCGGCCCAAGGGCTCCTTCCATGGAGCTCCCTGCCGTTCCCAGCTGAGGCTTTAGCCCCAAAATACCAGATAAACACAACTCCAAGGCTGCAGGGGCTGGGTGTGCTGGTTACCTGAGTAGCCCCAGGTGGCTTATTCCAGGGTCCCCTGTGCCATGAACAGGGGAGCTAAAGCTACAGGAACCGTGGCCCTGACCCAGCCTCCAAGGGCATCAACATTCCCAGCTCCTCGTGAGGGATCCAGGAACGCTGTTGGTCCATCACCCCAAAGCACAGGGGAACCCCTTTTATTTGACTGGGAAAGGGGTTTATGTCCACCCAAGGGGCAGCTGAAACCTTCCAAACCCTCCCAGCCCCGTTCGAGCTGCAGCTCACCCACCCTGTGGCTCTGCAGGGGTTTCACAGGCCTTGGAGAGCGGCAGCTCCGCCTCGCAGCTCAGCAGAGACGCGGGACAGGCACCATCTTTCGGCCAGTGCTGACCATGACAAGTGACAAAACGAGCACCAGAGCCCTTTGCCTCCATAAGGGGCATTGCAGGCACCGGGATGTGACCAGGATGAGCCACCACCACGGCAGGGAGCTGGCAGCAGTTTCCCAACTTGATGCTGTTGTGACACAAGGGCATCTCAAGGGGACAGGCCCCTGAGTGCCACCGGTGGGTGGCAGGGCTCTGGGCTGTCCAGGGAGGACACCACACTCCTAGTGCTGCTGAAAAGCCAAAATCTGGATTCTCAGATCCTGTTCTCAGCCCTGTTTGTGCATCAAGGTTGTGCTGATACAAACTGCTGCCTGGTGGTTTCCACCTGGGACATCACAGGGCCAGGCCAGCACAAGCTGAGCCTGCAGGAACACAGGTGCAGGGACAGTCACACGAGGCAGAGCTCAGGCTCCAGGCAGGTTATTGCCATCATCCTGTGCCAGCTGCAAGAGCTGGGGGAACTCACCTCTCTGGTCATTGAGCCCTTTGGTAGCACAAGTTTGATGCCTGAGAAATTCAGAGAAAGGAGATATTTCAAAGTGAGAAAATGAAGCCGTAAGAGAAATCCACTCAAAGGGGAACCTTAGTGCTGGCTTGACACTCTGTGTGTGCCAGTCTGTGGTGCTCCCAAGAGTTAGAAATCACTGCAGAGGAGAAGTTCCTTCAGTATTTGGCAAGAACAGATAGGTCCCTTCAGCCACCACCACACGGTGACACCACTGGAGAAGCCTCTAGGATGAGTCCTTTGCCTCACTTGGACGGCCTGACAACCTGAAGAGGGTCTCCCTCATGGTGCTGAAGCATCTGTCAGTGAGGTCGGTGACATCGTCTGACGTCAGCCCTTTGGTCTCTATTGGAGGCAGAACCTCAACCTTGACTTTGCCTGGGGACAAGAGAGGAGCCTGTGAGAAACCCACACGCCACAGGAGCTCTGTTCTCTGCCCTGTTCCCCACCCTGGACATGCCCAGCACAGCCCTCAACCCCCCCCAGGGCTTCAGGCATCCACCCCTGGAGCACAGGCAGAGTCACATCCCAGTTCCAACAGCTGTGTCACTCAGAATAATTCCCCTGTGCCCCAAACTGCCATCCCAGCTAGAGCCTGCCCAGAGCAGGAGGTGGAAACCAATTTTTAATGAAAACATCCCTCAATGTATTTAATTACAGCCCTTCCTGAGTCAACCCAGCCCAGGCTCTGGTGCCAAGTGCTTTGAACTGCCTCCAAACATCTCCCAGCGGGGCTCCTCCTGTTCACCCCAGCTCTGCTTCCCTCCACACCCCTGTTGAGCCAGATCTCCACACAGGACAACAGCAAGCCTGTCTTCAAGTGACTCCTTGTTACCTGATGTAAATAGCTTCGTCTTTGGGTTATAGAAAGCGGTGAAGGAGGAATACACCACAGGGATCACTGGCACCTTGGGGTAGGGAAGAAAAAGAGTTACTGGCACTTCAGCAGCTCAGGCCAGGCTAGAGACAGGCAGTAAATCCCACACAGCAAAGCTGACCTGGCCTGACTCTCAGACATACAGGGCATACACAGCCTCACAAACAACACCCACTTCCAAAGGCTGGAACAATCAGCAGTCAAATGGAATCAAAACCACTCCCCAAAATCTCAATGCACAGGGATAAGGCTCAAGAAACCAGGGCCAAGTTCCACCGCAGCCTCAGCTCAGACCTGGCTTTTAGGGTTACTCAACCCAAGTGAGGCTTCAAACCCCAAGTATTTTCTGTCATGCAATCAAGCACTGCAGGCTGCCTGTTCTGACAGGCCTTGCCTGCTGTACAGGCACGTGTCTGGGGCACGGTGGCTGCTCTGCTTTCAGTTTCTAAGAAGGAGTCACCAGTTGTTATCAATTGCTCCCAGGGAAGCTTCAGACAGACACAGGGCCAGGAGGGCAGGCAGAGCTGTTGTTCCAGTGCTGCTAACACAGCCAGGATCTACAGTTGGTGACTCAGGGGGGTGTAGCAGAGGCGGGGGCCAGTTCCATGTCATCCTTTCCTCCCAGCAGCTGCCAGGCTCTGCCTTGGCTGCAGCACCCAGACAGGAATGGGGATGGTACAACACAGGCTACACCCTGGGCTTGGCCAAGCTAACCCAGCGAGAGAGCTGGCACCTCTTCCCTTTCCCAAAATCCCTGCTGTAACACCTCTCCCAGGAAAACCAGTTTCCCCTGAGGCCTCAAGTCATCCCAGTCTCTGGCACACTGCCCCAGCACTGTG